GCTTCTGTCATGTGGCCAGATAGGGTTTAGGGTTTAGGGTTTAGGGTTTAGGATTTAGGGTTTAGGGTTTAGGGTTTAGGGTTTAGGGTTCAGGGTTTGGGGTTTAATTCCGATTTTCAGAAGCTTCGGCTCGTAGTCGAAAGCTTTCGAGTCTTGCACATCACACTGGAGGTTTGCAGATCCGGCTTCCGGATTTGAGAGAAAGGCCAATCTGTGGGCTGATAAGGCCTCAACCCCAACCTTTAAACCTTCACCTTCGGGGCTGTGCTAGTTACTCTGCAGTAGGCTTCAGAGCTGAGAGTTGCCCTGAACCGGCGTCATTGCTCTTGTTTATGATGCATTTGATTAGGCTTCGCTTCGCTGATTTGCCGTGGATGTTTAGCCAAAGACCCAAAACAATACCCCAAGCCCTAATGAGAAAAAGCGTGTGCGGGAAGAGCTGGATTGACGCTGTCTTCTTTCCGCAGCAGATTCGTTCCGGGAGGTGTTTTTTGGTAATTTGCCCGACATGGCAGGCACAATCATTATCACTGCATGCACACAGAAACCTTCATCATCAGGCTCGTCGTCACCACCACCACCACCACCACCACCATCAAATCCCCTAAACCCTAAACCCTAAACCCTAAACCCTAAACCCTAATTAATCGTCATCAACTTCGCCCTCATTGTCATTCTCTAAGTCATCAGCTTCACAAGTTTCATTCTCAATCCTCGGCGCCGAACCCTTGTCTGCGCCATAGGCCAAGGACCCCTGAACCCGAGGCTTACACAGCACTTGTAAAGTTCTAGCCCCGTCCAAGCTCGTATATAGATCTGCCCTAAACCTTGAAACCTTAAACTCTGAACTATCACGGAGCCTCTTACTTACTACCCTCTTCTGGCCTTTCTTACTGCCTTTAAGGAGGAATTACTTACTACCCTCTTCTAGCCTTTCTTGGAGCCTGTATTAGGAGGAATTACTTGCTACCCTTTTGCAGCCCTTCTTCAAGCCTTTAAGGAGGAACCCTAATTAAACCCCTAAACCCTAAACCCCTAAACCCAAAACCCAAAACCCAAAACCCAAAACCCTAAACCCTAAACGCTAAGTAAACCTGACGCAGAGCAGGGCCACGTGTCGCCGTCGATTTACGTCGGCTTCCGCTGCACCGAGCCGGGTCCCCGCGGCTTTTTTTTTGTCTGAAGGGGGGCTCCCGGGTTTTTGGCTTTGTCGTTTAGGGCCTAGGGTTTGCAGTTTTGGTTAGGGGTTTAGGGTTCAATAGGGTTTGCAGTTTTGGTTGAGGGTTTAGGGTTCAACAACAGGGTTTAGGGTTCGATAGGGTTTGCAGTTTTGGCTAAGGCTTACGATGTAGGGTTTCTAGGCTTTGGAGGAGGGCAGCGGGTGGAAGACCGAGGTATGCATGCTTTCTCTGAAGGCTCAGGATCAGGGTTTGGGGTTTAAGGCTTTGGGTTTAAGGTTAGGGTTTGGGGTGTAAGGTTTACAATTAGGGTTTAAGGTTAGGGTTTAGGGTTTAGGGTTTGGGGGCTCTAGCTGGTGCGTTTCATTTTGAAAAGTTAAAGTTGCGGTTAAAGATGGCTCAGTTGTCTGGCGCCACTACGGAGGCCGGGGTGGCTCCCCAAGGGTTCACTACAGAGTGATCGATCCTTCTGGAGTGAACTAACCCAAAGCTCCAGTCTCTGAGCCCCAAAGCCGGAAGCTCAGAAAAAGGTCACAAGCCATGAGCCTTGAAATTTGTGGCGGCTCATGTGATTATGCGAGGGCTCGATATGGTCTCTACACGGCCCAACACCCCAAGACGCACAACTCCAAGCCCTAAACCTTAAACCCTCACCCGGCCCTATAGAACCCTACATAGCCCATGCATTGATTCATGTTAAGTCCTAACCCCTAAACCCTAGCCCCTAAATCCTAAACCCCTAAACCCCTAAACCCTAAACCAAGCCGAGGACGCCTGAGGCATTCGCGGCCTTCGAAGACCTCGAGGTCGCCTCAGCGTTCAAGGGGGTTAGGGGTTTTAGGGTTTAGGGTTTAGGGGTGTAATGTAGGGGCCTTCGTAATAAAAAGAGGGTTTAGGGGTGACGGTTTACGGTTTCGGGAGGTTTAGGGGTGTAATGTAGGGGCCTTAAGAATAAGAAGAGGGTTTTGGGGTCTTTCGGTTTACGGTTTTGGGGTTACGGTTTTGGGGTCAGGGTTTAGGGTAAAGTTTAGGGGTTTTTAGAGGTTTGGGGGTTTAGGGTTTAGGGTGAGGTGTTGAGGGCTTAGGGTTTAGGGCTTCCAGACAGTTGGGTCCATTGTCTCCGAATCTAATACCTAATATCCAATATCTGATAACGACATTTCTAGTACCTACTATCTAATATCTAATATCGAATATCCAAAATCCAATATCTGCTATCTACATCTCTTCCTATACCCGTACCTGTACCTATACCAAATAACCTGTACCTATACCTATACCGATACCTTCACCTATACCTGCACACCTATACAGAGGTCGCCCACGAGTGGCATCGGTGCCAGTTTGGGGTCTTTTAGATCAAGGCATGTTTGCGGGGTTGCTTTTCATTTCGCCTTCACTAGGGATTCCTACCCTACCGTGGCAAGATCTACATGTAGCAAGCCACTTTGATAAGTACTACTTATCCTCACACGCTGCGACAGCTAGCGATCTGGACCACCACGCCGTGGACCATCCCGGCCAATCGGGCCCGGGCCTCGGGTCAACGGTGCGTGTTAGACTGTTTCGTGAATGGAGTTTAGCATACTTGGAAGTTGTGGCTAAAAGTCTGGAGAGAGGCGGATGCACAAAATGGTTTCGAACGGTCCCTGTCTCTCTCTGTTTGCCTGTCTGCCTGTCTGCCTGCCTGTCTGTTTGCCTGTCTGCCTGTCTGCCTGTCTGCCTGTCTGCCTGTCTGTCTGTCTGCCTGCCTGCCTGCATGTCTGACTGTCTGGCTGGCTGTCTGTCTGTCGGTCTCTCTCTTCCTCTCTCTCGCGTCTGCCATCTGCCAGTTTAGGCTTTGGGTTGTCTCGTGTGACGTTCTTTCCTTTCGGATTCCTCGGCTTACCCACCAGTTTTCCGAGTCCGAGTTAGAGCCTGCATCTCTCCAGAACCCCCATAAATCCCTGTGAAAGTTTGTGCAAAACCTCAGAACTCCCCGAATTTCCCCCCACTATGGCGGCAAGAATAAGTATTGAATGTGGTTCCCTTGTAGTCCCTAATATAGCAACTACAACCTACTCCAAAACCCTATCATATATATATATATATAGATATTTTCATATATATATATATACATATATATATATATATGTATATGTATGTGTATATATATATATATATATATATCAAGGCCTCGATCATAATCGATGTGTAAGGCCCGAAGGCCCATGTCATGCTCCAGGTTCGAGGTATTTGGGAATTCAGGTCTACGGCTTTAGGTATACTGTTAGGTCCTAAAGAACCCTTAAACCAAACCCTGGCCCTAAGCCCTAAACCCCACACCTAAATCCTAAATCCTGAATCCTAAACTCTAAATCCTAAACCCTAAACCCAAAACCCAAAACCCTAAACCCTGAACCCTAAACCCCAAACCCCAAGCCGTAAGCCAGAAGTACCAAGCCGTGATGTGCCCTGAACTTCGAGTTCCCGCAGCCTCTCTCACATGGAGGCCTATGTCAGTGCACCCTTTCGGGGTCTGGGGTTTAGGGCTTAGGGTTTGGGGTTTGGAGTTGAGGGATCTGATTTCCAAGCTGCCTTCGGTTTGGCTCTCAGAGCTTCGGGCTCGTTTTGAACCGTGAGCCAACTAGAGCCCTAAACCCTAAACCACAAACCCTGAACCCTAAACCCCAAGACCAAAAAAAACCCAAGACCGAAAGCTTGAGCTCCCGAGGCCGTTGCCGTGAATCCCGGCTTGAAGCTGCTGGGCTGACTGTCTTTGAGGTTTAGGGTCTAGGGTTTAGGGTTTAGGGTTTATAGCTAGACCCTAAACCTAAACCCTAAACCTTAAACCCCGAAACCCTAAACCCTAAACTAAACCTGCCCCAGGGAAGACGGCTCAGGGTTCTTTGGTCGGCTGCTGGTTCACGCGACTTTTGGGGCGTGAATGAAGTATCTTGGGGTCTTGCAGCGGCGGGTCCTTCAGGAGTTCCAGGGTTTCGGGCCGTTTCGGCTTCGGGTTTAGGGTTTGAGGGGCTCGGGGTTTAGGGTTAGTTCTTGCTCAGTTGCCGGCTTCTTCTGGGTTTATCGCCGCATGGGGCGATCCACGGCAAGATGGTTCTCCGAAGGCCCAAGCCGGCCCTGAAGAATCAGAACAACAGGGCTTCGGAGTCCCTAAACCCTAAACCTAAACCCTAAACCCTAAACCGAATAGCGTAAACATTCAGCCACCTGTATTACGGCCTAGACTTGGTTGTGGTCGAAGACGTGTTGAGATAACCCTAAACCCTAAACCCTAAGCCCTAAGCCCTAAGCCCTAAACCCTAAACCCTAAACCTTAAACCCTACTTATGACTACCCATGAACCTCCAAGCGTCTCCAGGAGGCCCAGGTCCTTAGGCAGAGTCTTTCCAAGGCCTCCCAGGCCACTGCAGTCTTCAGGGTTTAGGGTTTAGTTTTTTCTTTTTAAAGTTTTTTAGGGTTTGGGGTTTAGGGTTTAGTTTTTTTTAGTTTTTGAGGGTTTGGGGTTTAAGGTTTAGTTTTTTTAGTTTTTAGGGTTTGGGGTTTAGGGTTTAATTTCTTTAGTTTTTGAGGGTTTGGGGTTTAGGGTTTAGGGTTTAGTTTTTTAGTTTTTTAGGGTTTGGGGTTTAGGGTTTAGTTTCTTTAGTTTTTAAGGGTTTGGGGTTTAGGGTTTAGTTTTTTAGTTTTTTAGGGTTTGGGGTGTAGGGTTTAGTTTTTTGTTTTTTTAGGGTTTGGGGTTTAGGGTTTAGTTTTTTAGTTTTTTCATTTTTGCCCAGTTTTTGATACTAATTCTTTGCTTTTTAGGTTCCAGAAAGTGTTGCAATGGCTTCAGATGCGATCTCAGATTTTCTGGATGCAATTCAAGAGATTCAAGCCGAACCCGTGGAAACCCTGAAGCAGTCCGAGTCTCCTCTCCAGGCTTTCTTGGAATTGACATCGTACTTGGGGTCTTCACCACGTCTCCTCGATGTGGTCTTGGTTGCGAACCTGTTGACTGGAGCGCCAGATGGCTTGATCATGGCTTTAGGAGCACATCTCTTAATTTCGGCGGGCGGAACAGCGCCAAGAAGCTTACGTGGCACATCCATGAAGGGGGCAAGCAAGCCTCTTCAGAAGGCTTCGGAGAAGATAACTACTGTGTTGAGGAACATCCTGGGGAAGCGGACAGGCCTGAAGTCCAAGGATATTTCAGGGAACTCCGTGACAGGGGGCATGGCTGGGTGCCTAGTCAAGTTGCTGGAAGAGGGTCTTTACAACAACATCACCCCAGCATGCCGATCTGCAGTTTCCACGAAGGACCTTTCTACAGACATCAAAGAGGCAGAAAAGGTCATAGAAACTTGGACAGTGGCGAAATTGATGAAGTCAGACCTCACAGAGAGTTTGAAGAGCGGTCTTCTGACAAAGGACGGAGGCTCCTACAAATTGAATTGGGGTCACCACGGGAAAAAGGAGGAACGAAAGGTAGCGGTGTCAGAGCAGAGCGCTCTAAAGGAAGACGGTGGAGCAGTGGTGCTAGCAGGAAGACGATCAGAAGGATGGTTAAAGCAGACCGGCGCCAAGAGGGTGATTTATTTCAAGAACCTGAGAGACAGCGATCTCTTGAGGAATCTGATAAACACCGCAATGGAACTGGTTCTATCAATCTCATCCGGGTCCCCCACCCCAGACTGCAGCTGGCTGCAGGGACAGGTCATCATTTCTGCAGGATTGGTCGGGGAACTGAAGAGGTTTCTCCCAGGGG